AGGAGGGATATCTGGCCAGGGAGGGAAGAGGTGTTGGTAACGGCTGGGGACCTGTAGGAGGAGGTCATAGTACAAGTGAAGATGTAGTGAGAGGTGTGAGAGTCGGGTTGACAACAAATTACAAATAGTGCGACCAGGCTCAGAGTTGTCAATGTACTAGGCGTGGCAGAGTACAGTGGGGGTGGAGGTGATATGGTGTGGTGGGACAGGCACAGTGGGGGTGGAGAGAACATTGACAATATGAGGGACATACCTTTTAGTGTGATGGTGATGGCATGTGAGTCGACATGCCGGTGGGTGTGGCAGGGGTGTGTCCTCAAGTCCATTAGGTAGCCCTCGTGGAGACAGCACAGACACAGGAGCAGGCGCGACTTGCGGTGGGTGGAGGGACAGGTTGAGGCACCACGTGTCGTGTAGATGAGGGCAGGACATCGCTCCGGGGCAGCAGGGACACCAGGGCAGGCCAGTGGCGCTACGCCAGTAGTGAAGGCCACCGGCAGTGGGTAGGCCGTGAGCAGGGGGGCTCTGAAGGGACTACAGCTGTGTCAAACCAGAGAGGAGTTACTGGGTGGCAACAGAGGCAAAGTAGGTCGGAGATGGTAGTACAGAGTGTAACAGGTTCTTCAATACAGTTGGTAGAATTCCTGGAAAGGGATATGATCTGTGTCATGTCACTGGGTGGGACCACAAGTCTGACAGCATCAGAGTACAGACAGGAGAGGCCCAGTAGTAGTTGAGTTAGAGACGGCCGGGACTGCTGTGTTGCAGCCAGGTAAGGCAGACAGGGGCAGGTGTTGTTGAAGAGGCATTGCTGGAGACAGAGGGACGCAGAGGGAGGCGACCCGGTAGACCGAGGGGGGCTTGTGGTGGATGCGGCCTTCGGGAGGCTTTCCCTGGGACAGACGGGCGATGGGGCATTGCCGTGAGTCAGCATTGTGCCGGCTGCCACATTTAACACCTGGGATCAAATACATAGCCCACTATTAAGGTGGTCTTTGATTACAGGTGGCAAAGTTATGGTTACGTGAACAGAAGCGACATCTGGGACGATCACGTCGGCAGCAGGCAGTGAAGGTGTGACCCTGAGAACAGATAACACAAATTGCAGGCCTGGGGGTGGGGTTCTGCATAAAGTGGAGGGAGGATTGGGTGGGCCTCCACAGTGGTTGACAATGACAGCAGCAGCTGGGGTGTTCCCAGGTAATGTCGACATACTGAAATTAAAGTCCATGCGTTCTCAGTGTGGGAATCGTTTCACTAGGATGTGGCAACATTCGTCAGCGTCTACTTGAGGTACAGGACAACCGTCAAAGCCAACAGTTTCAGAACCTCAGGTCTGACACTTGATAAAGTTCCTGTTCTTACCTTGTCGGTGAATGTTGAGACCGTGTTGTTTGCAGTACTTCATCATCAATTTAACCGTTCTACAGTTTTCAGTGAGTCCTTGGGAAGTGCAGATTCAGCACTTGGCTGGTTGGCAGAGGCAGGGTGATAGGGTCCATGACATTGGTTTCCACTCCGGCTAGTGTTTCCCATAAAACATTACCGTCACTGTCACTGTTGGATTCAGTATGACCAGGCGAGTTGGCGATAGCATCCATCAGAGATGTCTGCATCCTGAAGAGCCTCTTCTGGGACGTTTATGTCGACGCCCATGCTAGCAACTTACCGGCTGAGGGACCGTGGGACGATCGGGAGTCAAGAGCACCTATGGGCGTCTGTCCCTTAGGTGGTCGCCACATTTCGTTATTGGCAGTAGTGTTGTTATTGTTGTTGTTGGCAGTAGTGCTGTTATTGTTGTTGTTGGCAGTAGTGCTGTTGTTGTTGGCAGTAGAGCTGTTATTGTTGTCAGTAGTGGTTATAGTTGTGTTGGCAGTAGTGCTGTTACTGGTGTTATTGGCAGAAGTGGTGTTATTGTTGTTTTTGGCGGTAGTGCTGTTACTGATGTTGTTGGCAGTAGTGATGTTATTGTTGTTGGCAGTAGTGATGATATTGTTGTTGGCAGTAGTGATGATATTGTTGTTGTTGGCAGTAGTGCTGTTATTGTTGTTGTTGGCAGTAGTGCTGTTATTGTTGTTGTTGGCAGTAGTGATGTTATTGTTGTTGGCAGTTGTGCTGTTTTTGTTGTTGTTGGCAGCAGTGATGTAATTGTTGTTGGCAGTAGTGATGATATTGTTGTTGTTAGCGTAGTGCTGTTATTGTTGTTGTTGGCGGTAGTGCTGTTGTTGTTGTTGTTGGCAGTAGTTAACATTTACTGATGTTGTTGGCAGTAGTGATGTTATTGGCGGTAGTGATGTTATTGTTGTTGGCAGTAGTGATGATATTGTTATTGTTGGCAGTAGTGCTGTTATTGTTGTTGTTGGCAGTAGTGCTGTTATTGTTGTTGTTAGCAGTAGTGCTGTTATTGTTGTTGTTGGCAGTAGTGCTGTTATTGTTGGCAGTGCTGTTATTGTTGTTGTTGGCAGTAGATTGCTGTTATTGTTGTTGTTGGCAGTAAAGTGCTGTTATTGTTGTTGTTGGCAGTGCTGTTATTGTTGTTGTTGGCAGTATTGCTGTTATTGGCAGTAGTGCTGTTATTGTTGTTGTTGGCAGTAGTGCTGTTATTATTGTTGTTGTTGGCAGTAGTGCTGTTATTGTTGTTGTTAGCGGTAGTGCTGTTATTGTTGTTGTTGGCAGTAGTGCTGTTGTGTTGTTGTTGGCAGTAGTGCTGTTATTGTTGTTGTTGGCGGTAGTGCTGTTGTTGTTGTTGTTGGCAGTAGTGCTGTTATTGTTGTTGGCAGTGATGCTGTTATTGTTGTTGTTGGCAGTAGTGCTGTTATTATTGTTAGCGGTGTGTGTGTTGTTGTTAGCAGTATTGCTGTTATTGGCAGTAGTGCTGTTATTGGCAGTAGTGCTATTGTGTTGTTGTTGGCAGTAGTGCTGTTGTTATTTGTTGTTGGCAGTAGTGCTGTTATTGTTGTTGTTGGCAGTGTGCTGTTATTTGTTGTTGTTGGCAGTAGTGCTGTTATTGTTGTTGTTGGCAGTAGTGCTGTTATTGTTGTTGTTGGCAGTAGTGCTGTTATTGTTGTTGTTGGCAGTAGTGCTGTTATTGTTGTTGTTGGCAGTAGTGCTGTTATTGTTGTTGTTGGCAGTAGTGCTGTTATTGTTGTTGTTGGCAGTAGTGCTGTTATTGTTGTTGTTGGCAGTAGTGCTGTTATTGTTGTTGTTGGCAGTAGTGCTGTTATTGTTGTTGTTGGCAGTAGTGCTGTTATTGTTGTTGTTGGCAGTAGTGCTGTTATTGTTGTTGTTGGCAGTAGTGCTGTTGTTGTTGTTGGCGGTAGTGATGTAATTATTGTTGTTGTTGGCAGTAGTGCTGTTATTGTTGTTGTTGGCAGCAGTGCTGTTATTGTTGTTGTTGGCAGCAGTGCTGTTGTTGTTGTTGGCAGTAGTGCTGTTGTTGCATAGTGTTGCTATTGTTGGCAGTAGTGCTGTTGTTGTTGGCAGTTGTTGTTGTTGGCAGTGTGTTGTTTTGTTGGCAGTAGTGCTGTTATTGTTGGCAATAGTGTTGTTATTGTTGGCAGTAGTGCTGTTGTTGTTGGCAGTAGTGCTGTTGTTGTTGGCAGTAGTGCTGTTGTTGTTGGCAGTAGTGCTGTTATTGTTGTTGGCAGTAGTGTTGTTATTGTTGGCAGTAGTGCTGTTATTGTTGGCAATAGTGTTGTTATTGTTGGCAGTAGTGTTGTTATTGTTGGCAGTAGTGTTGTTATTGTTGGGTGCTGTTGTTGTTGCGTAGTGCTATGTTGGGAGTAGTGCGGTTATTGTTGGCAGTAGTGTTATTGTTGGCAGTAGTGCTGTTATTGTTGGCAATAGTGTTGTTATTGTTGGCAGTAGTGCTGTTATTGTTGTTGACAGTAGTATTGTTATTGTTGTTGTTGGCAGTAGTGTTGTTATTGTTGTTGTTGGCGGTAGTGCTGTTGTTGTTGGCAGTAGTGCTGTTATTGTTGTTGTTGGCAGTAGTGCTATTATTGTTGTTGTTGGCAGTAGTGCTGTTATTGTTGTTGGCAGTAGTGTTGTTGTTGTTGGCAGTGGTGTTGTTGTTGGCAGTAGTGCTGTTATTGTTGTTGTTGGCAGTGGTGCTGTTATCGTTGTTGTTGCCATTATTGTTGTTGTTGGCAGTGTGCTGCTATTGTTGTTGTTGGCAGTAGTGCTGTTATTGTTGTTGTTGGCAGTAGTGCTGCTATTGTTGTTGTGGCAGTAGTGCTGTTATTGTTGTTGTTGGCAGTAGTGCTGTTATTGTTGTTGTTGGCAGTGGTGCTGCTATCGTTGTTGGCAGTCGTTATTGTTGTTGTTGGCAGTAGTGCTATTATTGTTGTTGTTGGCAGTAGTGCTATTATTGTTGTTGTTGGCAGTAGTGTTTATTGCTTGTTGTTGGCAGTAGTGCTATTATTGTTGTTGTTGGCAGTAGTGCTATTATTGTTGTTGTTGGCAGTAGTGCTATTATTGTTGTTGTTGGCAGTAGTGCTGTTATTGTTGTTGGCAGTAGTGTTGTTGTTGTTGGCAGTGGTGTTGTTGTTGGCAGTAGTGCCTGTTATCGTTGTTGTTGGCAGTAGTGCTATTATTGTTGTTGTTGGCAGTAGTGCTATTATTGTTGTTGTTGGCAGTGGTGCTGTTGTTGTTGGCAGTGGTGCTGTTGTTGTTGTTGTTGGCAGTGGTGCTGTTATTGTTGGCAATAGTGTTGTTGTTGTTGGCAGTAGTGTTGTTATTGTTGGCAGTGGTGGTGTTATTGTTGTTTTTGGCAGTGGTGCTGTTATTATTGTTGTTGGCAGTGGTGCTGTTGTTGTTGGCAGTGGTGCTGTTGTTGTTGGCAGTAATGCTGTTATTGTTGGCAATAGTGTTGTTACTGTTGTTGTTGTTGTTGGCAGTATTGCTGTTATTGTTATTGTTGGCAGTGGTGTTGTTGTTGTTGGCAGTATTGCTGTTATTGTTATTGTTGGCAGTGGTGTTGTTGTTGGTGGCAGTGGTGTTGTTGGTGGCAGTAGAGATGAAAGTATGTGTGTTGTATTTAATGAGGTGGTAATAGTAGTAAGAGCGCTGTTGCTGGTAGTGGGCTAATGTTTAGTCGGCCACAAGAATAAGTATACACCTACGGTTGGTGTTTGAGACAATATCTGGTAACACTGTCCTGAACAGAACAGACAAAATTACAAAATTTCCTGTAATACACGGGTTTAACGAGGCCACCTAACAACCACGGGTTTAACGAGGCCACCTAACAAACGCGGGTTTAACGAGGCCATCTAACAACCACGGGTTTAACGAGGTCATCTAACAACCACGGGTTTAACGAGGCCATCTAACAACCACGGGTTTAACGAGGCCATCTAACAAACGCGGGTTTAACGAGGCCATCTAACAACCACGGGTTTAACGAGGCCATCTAACAAACGCGGGTTTAACGAGGCCATCTAACAACCACGGGTTTAACGAGGCCATCTGACAACCACGGGTTTAACGAGGCCATCTAACAAACGCGGGTTTAACGAGGACATCTAACAACCACGGGTTTAACGAAGCCATCTGACAACCACGGGTTTAACGAGGCCACCTAACAACCACGGGTTTAACGAGGCCATCTAACAAACGCGGGTTTAACGAGGCCACCTAACAACCACGGGTTTAACGAGGCCATCTAACAAACGCGGGTTTAACGAGGCCATCTAACAACCACGGGTTTAACGAGGCCATCTGACAACTTCGGGTTTAACGATGTCATCTAACAACCACGGGTTTAACGAAGCCATCTGACAACCACGGGTTTAACGAGGCCACCTAACAACCTCTGGTTTAACGAGGCCATCTGACAACCACGGGTTTAACGAGGCCATCATAACATAAGACTCCGAAAATTAACCAATGAATATAGTTTCCCTCCAGGCTGAGCAGGTGATTACAACCTTGAACAAGCCAAACTAGCGAGAAAAAACTACAAATTTTCCGAGTCAGGTTGAGGTGGGTGGGTGAGGAAGGAGTGCTCTGGCAATTCGCACCCACGTTGTCTTGACGATAAAAAATGAATCAAAGGTTTAAGTTTTCCTAGTGTGTTAAGAGAAAGATCAGGTGTTGGCCTCCTTTTTGTGTGGACAGGTTAACGTTTAGCAAGAAATGATCCAGCATGGGAGGGTGTATCTACATCACTGAGGTGTTCTGTGTCCCTCTTACCCACCACCTTGACACATGCTGTTACGACCGTGTAGTATTTTTCTATTTTTTTTTATATAACATGCTTCATGTTGTTCCATATTATTCCTGTAATGATGTGTTACATTTACTATTATATAATCTAGTCACCTTACCCGGTGCTGTCAAGGTTTTAATTGTTATCATTTGTTCAAGCCCATCTTATTTCTTCATTTAGTATTGTAACAAGCATTCTTTGTTTCTTTAACGACCATCTGCATCGTTAAACCACCCATGTTTCACCGGCTGGTCGCATTGGCGGGAAACGACCTTATACATAGTACTCCACCTGTAGACAGAGTGCAGTCCAGTCCTCTTGGTCTTTAGTTCACGTTGTTTTGAGTGACACTTGTCATTTATACTTCATTTTATTTCTGTGTTGTTCCTGTCGCCACCAATGTGGTATATCTACTGTATGTGAGTACCTATTTATGTCTCTTATGTGTCCATCAGTGCTTGCTTAGTTACATTTAAGTAATTCAGTGTTGTTCCTCGATAATTAATTTCAGTGTTTGTTATTTTATATGTT